TCCAGCTCCCCGCCACATCCCTTTTTGAGAGAGGCTTATCCTAGATAACCCAGGCTGGCCTAGAAATCACTATGTAGTCTAAGCTGGCCTTGGGCTATCAGTCCTCTTGCCTCAGTCTCCTGGGTACTGAGATTTTAAGTGTGTGCCATTCCCTTTCCCTCCAGAGTGGCCCTGAGTACCCACACAGACCCTCTACCTAGCTTCACACAAATGTCATAGAAAAGATGCCCAAAATACATGACAGGGTCCAAAGTCCACAGATGCCCTGTCCTGGCTTCACAAGAGAATCATCAAAGGGATTCCTGTTCGGAGGCCCTGCACAGCCTAGTTCATAAAGTCTCTGTCTCTGTCTCTGTCTCTGTCTCTGTCTCTGTCTCTGTCTCTCTCTCTCTCTCTCTCTCTCTCTCTCTCTCATTTATCTATCTCTATCTATCTCTATATCTCTATCTCTCTGTGGGTGTGTTGGGGGGCAGGGCAGGCATTTAGTCCTTGTTAAACCACCCTTCATGGTTCTAATGTGCACCTAGAAGTGAACCTGAACGTCAGGGGGTTACATATGGCTTTTCTTGTAAATATTTGCACAGGGTCAAAGCCTGAAACACCCATCTAGGCCCACCTTGCTCTCTGTGCACTGCTCTGTGGTCCAGGTCTTTGAGGCCGTGGGTATTCCTTAAAGTTCATAGTATGGACATCTCTAGACCTTAAGGAATAGGGTGACAAGCCTGACTCACCCTGCAGGTCTCTGGAGGAGTGCATCCTCTCTGCTTTCTGTCATCCTGCTTTTGTAGTGGGCACACGTGCCAGGACTGTCTCCAAGGTCATTCTAAAGGACTTTCCTGGGAGCTATGAGCAATATGTCTCGCTTAGCCTTGTTCTGAGATATCCTGTACCCCAGCGTCAAAAGCCTCTATTAATGATATGTCCTAGGTTTCTGTGCTTTCAGAGAGGTATACTTTGCTGCCTACATATCAAACAGAGGAGAGGGGCATGGCCAGAGGTGCTAGAGGGCGGAGGCTGTTGCAACAATTGGTAATTTTCCAGGCACCATAAAATGCATGTAACAATGGGAATATATGAACGCAAGAGGTTTATTGTTTCAAAATCTGACTCCTATTTGAACGATTATGATCCACAGTGATCTGATTAACACTGAAATACCTACTATAAAGATCCTAATCTATGAACCAGAGGGAGACACACAGCTACCTAGAGATGACAAGAAGACCTTTGTATGTGCTCTTGATCCGATTAAGACACAGGGAGGGTTGAGGTGGAGACATCCTGGTGGATGGAAGGGGGGACACACCAGGAAAGCTGAGACCCAGCTCTGTGACCTGTAGGCTGGTGACCCAGCTCCAAGTGTCACCCTTTCTGTTTTGGGCTCAGCTTCTTCATTAGTAAATTGGGGATTATAGTACCTACCTCAAAGGCTTGTGGTGAGGGATTATATCAGATAATGCATGTGAAAGTTTCTTTGCTAGCTCGAAAGCATAGTATAATTATTAGCTATGACTATCCATTAGAGAAACTGAGCTTTCTTAATGAGCTGCTCAATTACCCTGTGGGATGCACTCTGGAGGAGGCCAGCCTGGGGCTGCAGTGGCCACTAGGATGCCTGTTCAGGAGGGGAGATCTTGTCTGTGGCTGCTATCTTATCCTTTTTCTTTACTGCCAAGCTCAGAGAAGTCGTGGAAGTGTGTGTCATGGTGTGTGACCAGAGAGGTGGGGAGGAAGGAGGTGGGATCAGGAGGAGAATGGGAAACCGCATGGCTCTGTGATCTATGGCTGTGGGGTTGTGGTGTGGTGAAAAGGATAGCTGGAGGGGGAGGAAGAGTATTGCCTGTAAGCACCTGGAAGGTTCTGTGTAAGGAATCCTTTGCATACTTTTCAAGTGGTGCTGTGTGCCTCAGGTGCTGTGACAAAAGTTCCATGCTTGACCAAACTTTAGTCTGGGCCCTAAGCCTTCATTTTGGCCTACATGTGCCCTTCCTTGTAAAGTCCACTTTTAGCAAAGAACCTTGCTAAGTCGATTCAGCAAGATCTCTCTCCCCCATACCCCAGCTGTCTGATCCGTATCTAATCAGTTCCTTCCACATCCTTGTCCTCCCCATCTTTTCTCCACATCTCCCTAGTGGTACTTGACCACCCTGACTTGTCTTCAGCAAGAATCCTGTTAGGTCCAATTCACCAGAATTCCTTTCATTAGCATTGACATTTCATCTTAGGAATTTTCCATCTGTCTATTGCTACCCCACTCCTTTCCCACCTTTATTTCCCACTGCCCTGTTGTACTTGAAGTTGAACCCAAGGTCTCTCACCTGCTGTGAGACTTCACTGTGGAATTCCAAACTGTGGCTACCATACCTATTATGATGGGCCTGAAGAGTGTGCCTCATAGTTACTTAGCTAGGCCATTGTGTGATATTTTTCTTGTTAGATGGATCCACCTAGTGTGTCTGGAAGATGCTAGGTCTATTAGAGCCCAGTTTCCACTATGGTTGGGCCCTGAAGTCTGTAGAAGCATAGGGCTCAGGAAGCATTTAATGATGGAGAACCCAGCGCACATTTCAGTCCTGACTGCCCATTGTCTTCAACAAACACACCCAGGAGAGTGGCCCCAGACTCCACTGAATCAGGACTGGAGTCTCCCCATCACAGCAGTCAGTCCTCTGGCTCTAGGGCTTTAAGAACCAAGAAAGATGGACTGGAGAGATGGCTCAGTGGTTAAGTGCACTGACTGCTCTTGCAGAAGACCTAGGTTTGAATCCCAGCACCCATATGGTAGCTACAACCATCCTTAACTCCAGTTCCAAGGGATCCAATGCCTTCTGGCCTCTGTGGGCATTGCACAACATGGATGTACTTATGTGCAGTCAATACACCCATACATATAAACTGAAAATAAATATCAAAGAACCACCAAAGAAAATCTGCAATTTGATGGGTGCTCTCTGATGCATGCAGACACAGCTCAGACCATCCCAGGGGCAGGAGTTCCCCCTAGTTAGTGCTCTGCAGTGTTCTAGGGGACCAGCAGGTAGTTAAGCACAGTAAGTGGCCCCAGCCAGGGGGCCTTTGTCTGTGATTCATTATGGCTTCCTATCTACCACTGCCAGTTGAGACATTTTGTTGTTACCACCAGACCCTCTTCAGGGGTTCAGAGAGGGCTATGGATCCAGGTAGACTGACAGCAGATCTTTGCATCCCTGGAGCCAAACCTCCATACCTCCATAACTCTCTATGGGTAGAACTAGGTAAGTGATCAGTTCCATGTGTGCAGATCTTCTGTCCCGATTCCTTGCCAAGATCCTGACAGCAGAAGGTGATCGTTACTATTTTCCAACAAGGTACCAATCTGGATACTAAGGAGATCTTCCCAGACCTCTTAAAGACCGTAGGAGAGGGATACCACCTTTGCTGTCTGTGTTCAGGTGAGAAAACTGCAGCATGGACAGGCAAAGTGACCTATCCAGGGCCATACACCTTAGTAATAGTGGTCCAGAGAGCCACACCCACAGCCAGACTTCAAAGCCCACACCAGGTTAGAAAGTTTTCAAAGGCAAACCCTCCACATACCCTTCCCAGGAGCCCTAGCCATCCCTGAGGACTGGATCCCTCCAGGCTTGACCATCTCATTTTCATTCTGAGTATGGATTTTCAGTTGTGCGTGGGTCAACACAGAGGAAGAAACGGCCTGTATCTGAGCTGACCTGCTGGGGTTTTGGGTTTTTTTTTTTAATAGATAAATCCCAGTGAGTTGAGAGTTGAGAATCCTTAATCCTTGATCACCTTAGCCTGATGGCACTGATACAGTTCTAAGTGGCTAATGGGCAAAGTGGGTCAATCTGGCTTTAGCAACAAGCGGGCTGTGAGAAGATTTCTTTAAGGCCAGGCAAAGTGAGCACAGCTCCCTGTGGGCTTGTCCTAGAAGGAGCTGCTCTCTTCAGCAAACTGGCCTTTCTGGCTTGTGTTTATATCCTCATTTCTAAAAATGTGCTCTAATTAATGCCTCAGGCAATAGGACAACTTAAAGCTGGAAGTTTAGAATGTTCCCTTAGAACAGGAAGGGAGTATTTATTAAAAAATGTTAGACAATTGTCTTTTTTTTTATCCTTATGGCCACCTGAGAATCAATCAGAATTTCTACCTCATAGCTAAAAGGTGATTTTAGATCTGTGATCAAACCTAGTGTGTGATTATTTAATATACCTCTTTTAATGTAGCTACACTGGTAAGGTATACATACATGTTTAATTTGGGTTCTACCCTGGGCCATAAACTGTACATTGTACAATTTAATGATGATAATAGGGGTAGTGGTATGATATTTATTGTGTGTGCACCAGAAAGGATGAACATATGTCAGATATGGTCTAAGCCTATTGTGATTACTGTTTATATCCTCATTAAACTCCCATGAGGTAGATGTTGTTTTTCACAGATGAAGAAAAGAGGCCCAGGAAAGTAAATCATACACATTACTTTTAATATTTCCATTTGGGGCTTACTAATGAGCCAGACCACTTACCCACCAAAGTGGCTGTACCCGGGGACATTCTCTTTCTGTTGCCTAAGGCACACCTGGGCTTGTAGGGTGGGTGATAGACTGATTGGCAGGTAACCTGAAGTCCAGGTGTCATTTTGGAAGATGTACATCCAGAGGCCAAAGGCTTTATGTTTTGATGTCTGGTGTGTGGACCTATGGGAAAACTGGGTACCCTGAGTTAACTAAGAGTGCAGGGTAACACCCACATCAGTGTCTCAGGGAAACAAGGTCTGGCTCTTGTAGTTTATGATTCAGGTAGGAGGTATCTGGGCTCCAAGCCTGTGGTGGGATGTTAATGCACCCTAGTGCTAAAACCATGTTACATTGTTGTTTCTAAAATGGTCCCAGTAATAACAGGGATCTGAGGTTAGACATCGTAAGACAAGGCAAAATAAGCGCCACCTGCCACCTTCTGAACCTAGATTTTTTTTTTCTTTTTTTTTTTTCTTCCCAGGGACCTGATGCCCAGAACCCTGGAGGGCCAGATCACCATGGAGAAGACTCCCAGCTACTTCGTGACTCGGGAGGCGCCCGCGCGCATCTCAGCCATGTCCAAGGACACCAAGCTCATCGTGGTGGTGCGCGACCCGGTGACCAGGGCCATCTCGGACTACACGCAGACGCTGTCCAAGCGGCCCGACATCCCCACCTTCGAGAGCCTGACGTTCCGCAACCGCAGCGCGGGGCTCATCGACACGTCGTGGAGCGCCATCCAGATCGGCCTGTACGCCAAGCACCTGGAGCCCTGGCTGCGCCACTTCCCGCTCGGCCAGATGCTCTTCGTGAGCGGGGAGCGGCTGGTCAGCGACCCGGCCGGAGAGCTGGGCCGCGTGCAGGACTTCCTGGGCCTCAAGCGCATCATCACCGACAAGCACTTCTACTTCAACCAGACCAAGGGCTTCCCGTGCCTCAAGAAGGCCGAGGGCAGCAGCAAGCCGCACTGCCTGGGCAAGACCAAGGGCCGCGCGCACCCCGCCATCGCGCGCGAGGTGCTGCGGAGGCTGCGTGAGTTCTACAGGCCCTTCAACCTCAAATTCTACCAGATGACCGGGCGAGACTTCGGCTGGGATTGAGCACCCCGGGCCGGCCACTTCCCTCGTGGCTTATATATTGAGAGAGATTATATGTATGTAAAATGTATAGAAATCTATTTTATAATAATTTATTTTTAATTCATAAGCAATCAAGTCACTAAGCTGCCTAGCCACACTCTTGAGAGCGTTAGCATCATGGTCTGTTAACATTCCAAAGTGTTTAACTCCCATGCTTTGTTCTATCCCTCACAACTTATGGTGCTTCCATTTCTTTCCTCCCCTCCCCACTATATTTAAAAAGAAGAAAAGCACAACTTGAGATTTTTGTTACGGGTATTCTGCCTCCAATCACCTTCCGTCCCCCAGCTGTTGTCTCTGTGAGTCATAGTCTTTGGAGCTCTGAGTCTTTTCTTGCCAGGGTACCTCAGGAGCACGGAGCTGCCTCAGCAGCATTGCAGTCTGAAGGTCCCATTCATACAAGCAGTTTCTTGACCCTCACTGATGTAGTCCCGAGGTGCATTCCTCCACCTCCCTTACTGAGACATCCGCATTGACAGGATTTGTATTACTTTAGCTTTCCATGATGGAGGATGGCCCTGCATTCCCTTCTGCTGCATGGCTTGATCTATTAGCCAGTTTGAAGTGTATGCAAATGTTAGCCCCCTTTCCCCAAGTCCCATGTGTAAGACGTATGGGTGCTGCTCTACAAATAAAGATGATGTCTTCTCATTTGCATGAGAGTGCACCACATTCTTCTTCTCCAGGCACACAGTTCTGCTGTGACACACCAAAGAACCCCCAAACCGAAGATGCTGGTGTCCAGACCCATAGGGGTCAGGTGCATTCCTTGATATCAGCATCTGCTGAGGTGCTGGTAGGTGTAGATCCCACTGGTATTGGGCAGCCTGGCAGAGGATGGGAATCCCTGGCCCCACAGCGGAATGCCTGTGGAATTCCTAGTTCATCCCAGAGGTACAGGATTGTGTTGCAGGCTGTGACCACAACAGGGAAGAAGAGTAGTCAGAGGAATCATTGAGTTATACTTTCATCAAGCAGAACATGGGAAGATATATAGGGGTTGAAATGGCTGCAACATTTACAAAAGATTCTTTTGGATGTTTTATGGGACAATTTGGATGAGAAAAGTTACATGGAAAGAGAAGATAGTTCATCTTTAGAAACTAGTGAGAGGTGTCACTGGTCTATAAGTGATACTTCGATAACATGCTTTTTGGTTTTCCACAAATTGTAGCCTAGCTCTAGCTAGCTAATGCTTGGTAACAAAACTGTCACTGGGTAGGCCTGGAAAGGAAGGAAGTTGGTCATAGGCTCTGCATTCCTCAGATGTTGCATTTATTTTTATTCTGCAGAGGTGAGGGTGGAAACCCGGGCCTTGCACTAGGCAAGCACTGTATCACTGAGCCACATCCCCAGCCCATTTCATAGGGTATTTTTTTTTCCCTGTCTATACAAAGTCATGTGTTATGTGCACTTAGACCGACACCATAATCTAGCATAGTTCTCCATGGTTGTGACTGTTTGGCTGTGAAAAACCCTGAGTTAAGAGTGCTCAGGGGCTGTGTGTTTTTCTTTTTAGAAGGCATACCGCTTCTCACATGTGGCATAACCTTGCATGCGGGCAAAAGCAGTATTCCCGACCTTAACCTAGCCTTGCCCAGGGTCTTTCTGGCTGCTCTCAGTCTGACATAACTCATGGTGTAAAAGTGCAGAGAGTTCAGAGAAAGGTATGCAGTAAAGTGAGAGGAAAACACATGTGAGTTTGTTCTCCTTCCCTTCAGGGCGCTGCCTTCTTTCTAAGCTGGACACTATTCAAGTTGTTTATTCCCTACTTCAGAATATATCTGAAACAGGACATTTTGAGATAGAAGGAAGGTCATTTAGCCATGAACACTGAAATGGGTCAAAATTTCTATTCTCAGTCAAGTCCCTGAATCCAAGCAGATGTCGATAATTAGTGCTGATGGAACAGGGTGAGTTTTTCACTGTAAGACAAATAAATCAAGCAGCACGTGCACCTCTTTCTCGAGCCCAGACAGCTTATAGTTCCTGACTGATCCGGATGTGACATCTGCCCCAAGATGACACTTCATCATGTGATAGTCATTACCCACCCACACGTCCTCTTCTCAGAGAATTTAGGCAACACAGAGAGTTAAGACTTGTGTCTCTTCCTGTCCCGGCCAGCTGCAAGGCCACTGAGCTTAACTTCTAAGCTGCTAGAAGACAAACACCGGTTCATGGTTTGGCAATTTGTCCCACCACATGTTTGAGGGTTCTTTCAGTTTATAGGAAAAGCTCTCTTACTTACTGAAGAGCCTCATCTCTTAAGCTTTTGTTCTTTTCTCATTTGAAAACAAGTTAAAGATAAGTGTGGAAATTTGTATTATTCCTATTCATGGAATGCCTTCCTCGAGGTGTTTGTGTGCAGGTGTGTTCACTTTACTATGTGCTACCTGGAAAGGTGTTTTTAGGCCTAGTGACTGTGGAAGATACTCTTAATTGGATGGTGAAGGAGATTTTCTCGAGGGACTCTCTTGGGTAGTTGTTTTGAGTGACAGATATATTTCAGACCTTTGGAGAAACCCAGTTACAGATCCTGGCTGGATATTCTCCCAAGAAAAGAAAATGGAAGGATCTAGAAACACTTTAGTATCCAAGATGTTGACACAGAAGTCAGTGCCATTTCTCTCTTCAGTTTTTCAGAAAGAATGGTTAATAAAGTTTAAAGGTGTGGTTAGTTTCTTTTTCACTTTTGTAACATTAATTTATGACTGAGTTTCATTCAGCCCGGTAATCAAAAATACTGTGCAGATTCTGGCAGTATGTCTTCTATAACTTGGATGTTAGCATAGCCAATATGTACAAAAATTTAAATCAAGTATTTTGTCCTATGTATAACACAAATTAATTTTACACAGAGAAAGATATTTCTAGGAAAATGAAATTCTCGTAATTCATACTATTTCTTTGTATGAACAAATAAAATATATTTTACCAACCTGTGGATATGTTCATGTTTATTAGGTTTGGCAGATGGAGAAGGTAAGAATATTTTATTCAGTAATTCATAACATGTGAGCACACAGTTGAACATTCACAAAATCATTCTAAGGCAGGTAGATTTTTCCAGTTTTGTGGGGTTTTTTTTGAGACAGTCTCACACCATAGCCTAGGCCAGCCTCAAGCTTACAACAGTCTTGCGTCATTATAGACTATGCCAAGTTTTAGATCTAAAAATTTTTTTCAATATATTTTTTATTGAATTTTTATGCATTTCACAATATATTTTAATCATATTTAGGCCCCCTTTCCTATCTGAACTCCCCCATAGCCCACCCATTGGATTTCATGCATTCTGTCATATATATTAAGGCCTATTGAGTCAAGTTTGTACCCAGATGTCCCTCGGTTTGAATTCTTCCACTGGAGCCTGGTCAGCCTGCCTAGCACCACTCTCTTAAAGAAGGTCAACTCTCCCTTACCCAGCAGTGATCAGCTGCCAATAGTTTGTCAGCTAAGTTTGGGGCCTGCTGCCCATTTCCCCAGTTCTTTACTGGGTTTTTGTCTGGTTTGAGTTTTCATGGGTATTGTGTGTGCTGTCATCATTGTTGTAAGTCCATATGAGCAAGTTCCCAGAAGCCTGGAAGACTCTGTTTCCTTGTGGTCATCCACTACCCCTGGCTCTTAGAATCTTTCTGCTCTCTTGCAGTCACTGAGCCCTGGTAGGGGTGGGTGAGGTTTAATATATGAGTCCTATCCAAGGATAATTATATATTTTAAAATTGTGTGTGTGTGTGTGTGTGTAGGTGTGTGTGTAGGTGTAGGTGTAGGTATAGGTCAGAGGACAACTTGTGGGAATTGGTTCTCTCCTGCCGTGTGGGTCCTAGTGATCCAACTCTGGTTGTTAGGCTTGGTGCGTTGAGTCATCAAACTAGCCCTGATTTTTCAGATTTTAAAGGTGAAATACAAAACCCAATTAATCTGCATTAGGGACGAACTTTTTGCTAAATAACTCTGAAAGCAAGGTAGGGTAAGTGGGGCCCTGCACCCTGGGGAAACCTATCTTTCCCTACCAAGTACTGTCCTTTATTCAGGACTCTAATAAAACTATTGAAACCATTGTGTGTGAAGGCTTCTAGAACTAAGGTGGCTAGAAGAGGGGAGCTGCATGTCCTACAAAAGGTGTGGCTGGGGGAATTAGAATAATAATACCTCTCACGTCTGCAAGGTGTTCTTCTGTTATATGGGCTCCTTATGTGTGAGGAAAAGACGGCCTGGAGGAGGCACTCTGGATCTTTAGTTTGACTCAAACCACCTACTGTTTCCTTTTGATATAGTGTGACATCTTCGTGATTATTGTTTATTACTTTAAACATTTTGGTGGATTCTTTGACATAAATTTAAAGGAAATATGATTTTAAGTGAAAAATCCATGGACGCTAGCCAAATCAAAGAAGGTAGTCAAACCAGGCATAGTGGAGTACAACTATAATCCCAGCACTCAGGAGGCTGGGGCAGAAGAACCATGACTTTAAAGCCAGCCTGGACTAGTTACCAAGACCCTGTCACAAAACAAAGGATCAAATGCCTGCTCACACAGTGAAGATTAGCCGATAGTATTAACTTCTTGCTAGATGGTGTAACAAAAGCCCCATTAGTCTTGGCTTGGGATCACTGCTCCTGGCTGAAGCTCTCCTGGCAAGACCAACACCTGAGAGAGTTCTGCCTCCTGCCATAGAGAATGGAGGAGCATTGAGGAAAGCATGGCCTGCTCAGTGTTGAGCCCAGGCACGTGTCGTACATGAACCCTCCCTCCCCCAAATCATCTCTGGTAGTGTTGGCTTTCCCACTGGAAAACATGAGTCTTATGAAGAGAACCCTTGGGTAGAGGTATATGGCTGGGAATTAGACTGATACTAGGGGAAAATGGAAAGAACACATTGATGGAAGAGGCAAACTGACCAGTCTTCATTCTGACTTAAGGAGAATAGCTCCTTTAAATTAAGACTCTGCTGCTAGGTGCTAGGTGACACGTGTGCTCTAGTCTTAATGTGACTTGGCAACCCATCCATCAATTTTGCTTTTTCTATAGAAAGGTAATGAGGTGGGTCTACAGTCCACTCATTAACTTGATGACGCATGTTAGTAGTGCTCAAGCTTGGGCAAATAGATGACCTGGCCTTAATTCTAAAGTCCAAACACACCTCAGACCATTCCACACTTAGAATCTCTAGGAGGTGAGACCCTAACATCAGTAGATAGGGTAAGTATCTCTAACCTAAAAATCTGAAATCCAAAATGCTCCAGAAAGCAAAATCTCTTCAGTACCAGCATGATGTCCCAAGTAGATAATTCCACATGTGACCTCATATCACAGTTAAAACACAAGGCATTAAATGTTGACATAATTTTCTCAGGTGGTGATTGCAGAATGTATGGGACATAATGAATATCTCATTTAGGTCTGTGTTTTACTCCCAGGATAGTCTTTCTGGTCTATACAAATGCTTCCAAATAAAAAAAAATTCAAACTTGGAACTGTGCTTCTAGTTCCAAACCTTTCAGGTAGGGGATTCTCAGCCTGCATTTAAAGAGCTTCTTAAGTGATGTGGGGCTTTTGAACCACTGGTCTGCAGTTTGTTTCAAAGTGGGGTTCCCCAACCATGTTTGCACCTCTGGACGATGTGACGGCCATGCATGCAAATTCCTGGCCCCTCCTCAGACTTCCTGAATCATAATTTTTAAAAAATGTTTTATAAGCCTTCCAGGTGTGTATTGTTTTTCTCATTGCTGTGATTAAATACCTGAAAAAAATTGCCTTAAGGGAAGAAGAGTTTATTTTGGCTTATAGTGTTTGAAAAGGTATAGTTGGTTGTGGAAAGAAAGGCACTGGGGCGGAAAGTGGGGGAAGTGGGGATAGTGAGGTAACTTGTTACATTGTGCTTACAGAGAGGAGCAGAGTAGACAGGAGGTGGGGTTGTGTTATACTATCTCAAGGCCCTCACCCAGTGACCTACTTCCTCCAAAGATGCTCCACAGAGATTCTACAACCTGCCAACACCATCAACTGGGGAGGAAGTGTTCAAATACATGAGTCAGTGGGGGACTGAGCACATTCAAATCACCAGGTGATTCTGATTTATACAGAAGTTTGAGAACCCTCTGTTGGAACACAAACATCATACCATTTTAAAACTAGAAAGTTGGGTTTTAAAATTATTTCCTCTGTCTCATGCTTTTCATCATAAGGTGTGTGTGTGTGTGTGTGTGTGTGTGTGTGGGTGGGTGTGTGTGTGGTAGTCAACTATTAGAGTCACCCCTTAAAAGATGTGACTGGAGTATAGTGTGAGTAGGGATGTGATGGAGTGATGTGATGCACTGGTCACATTCTCCAGGGAACTATATTGAATAAATACATGCATTTCTTAGATCGGCTCACAGGACCACAAACTTTGAAATATTTTACTACAGGCCACTGGCAAGCCAGAGAAAAATGGTAAGGTGGCCCAGTCCACGAAGCCACATACCTCAGAAATAGGGCAGGGGGGTGGGGACAACTCTGTTTTTTCTAGTCTGAGGTCAAAGGCCTAAGAGCCCTGGAGGGGCTGATATAAGTCCAAGAGTCCACCAGCAGGAACGTGAGAAGCTCTCCCACCCTGTGTGAGAGTAGAAGAGTGATTTACCTTCATTTTTCTTTTCTGCTCCACTCAGGCTCCCAGCTGAAAGGATGGTACCACCCACATTTTCAACAGGTCAGTTCTTTCCCATTCAGTGTGTTGACCCACAGGCCAGTCTTCTCTGGAGACACCCTCATAGACACACCCAGTAGTCTTTGGTATAAGATCTCTAGGCATCTCTCTGTCAAGCTGACACCCCAAATTAGATATTGTTCACGGGGAACCAAGATAAGAGCACCTAAGGTGAAGGGGAGCCGGGCAGGAGGCAGGTCAACCCCATATAGTGGTAGGGCATAGCCAAGGGGTTGGATGGACAATGCTTAGGGAGACAGAGAGAAAGCATCAAGGACAAAGATGTCTGTGTGAAAAAATAAGACTGAGAGGAGGTGCTGGCCGCTCAACAGGGACACAGCCTGGAGTATTCAGGAAAGGGAATAACCCTGCCAATCCACACTGTAGCCCAGCGCCGTGAGCGCTCCAGCTCTCTGCTTGCCAGCCTACCATCTCTTGGATGTCTCCATAAGCATCTCACACACAAACATGCCTTAAGCAGAACCCTCAGTTCTCTTACATCACTTCCCCTAATCTCTCCTGCTGAGTGCTCAAGGTAAAAAACGTGGAGTTTTGACATCTCTTGCCCACATTTCTCATTTCTAGTCCTTTGCTAAGTTCTGCAGGATGACTTCCAGAAGAGTTCCCACGTGACCCCTTTCTGTCTGAAGCTATCACCTGATACTATACCACCTTGTGTACTGCGCTCTTGGAGCCTCCCCTCTGGCCTCCCATGCGGTACTTTCTGCCCTCCAATCGATTCTGTACACAGCAGCTTAGGGATCAGCAGATGGACTATGAGCTCTCCTGCTGAAACCTCTTGGTTGACCTCCCATTTCATCAGAGAGGGCCTTCGCTTGTAGTCCCAGCTACCCAGAAGACTGAGGCAGGAGAATCATTTGAGCTCAGGAACACAGGGCCAGCCAGGGCAAAAGAGGAAGAGCCTGTCTCAATTTTTTTTCAGGTAAAAATTGATAAATCTCAGTTCCTTCATGCATCTCAGTTGTCTGAACCCAGCCTGACTCCATCCCTTCCTCTTCTTGGTTTCCACACTCCAATCACGAGGATCTGTCCTCTCCTGGAAGAGGCCACATTCCAATGATGAACGCATTTCTCCCAACTCCTTCCCTGGCTAACTTGCACTGTCAGACTTCCATCTCCCCCGAACCTCCATGACCTCCTCATTCCCCACAGAAGACTGTTGCTCCCATAAATCTGATGGTCACAGCTTTGGCTGCCTCTTACATACTGACCAGCACTGGGCTTGTGACTGT